GGGGGGGGGGGGGGGGGGGGGGGGGGGGGGGGGAGGAGAGGGTTTTGGGCCAGGGTTTTGGCCGGGGTTTTGGGTCTAGGGTTTTGCGCCTAGGGTTTTTGGGCCTCGGGTTTTGGTTCTAGGGTTTTGGGCCTAAGGGTTTTGGGCCTAAGGGGTTTGGGCCTAAGGGTTTTGGGCCAGGGTGTTAGGGTTTAGGGTTTAGGGTTTAGGGTTTAGGGTTTAGGGTTTAGGGTTTAGGGGTTTAGCGGTTTAGGGTTTAGGGTTTAGGGTTTAGGGCTTAGGGCTTAGGGCTTAGGGTTCGCCAGCGCAGCGTGGCGCCCAGGACAACTATTCTATAGGTGGCTGCCCTATGCTCCAATAAACTTTTTACGGATGCAATTTGCCGAGGGTTGAAAACAATTCTCGAAGGGCCCATGGAAGGCGTCGGAGGCGCCAGAGGCTGCAAAAGGCCCGGGAAGCACTAAAATATACTAAAACCTCATGCGCCCTCAACACACAACCAGAAATGCAAAGAAACAAAAGCTCCAAAAACAGCGTGAGGTCGGAAGCTGTTAAGAGCCGCGAAAGACCCCAGTTCGGAAGGCTCGCAAAAAAATATCAGAAAAACTGGTCTGCAAGAAACTTGGCTCTACGCAGCATTCTACATGTAAACTGCATCCGCAGGCAATCGGAGGCCTTTTTCTCACGCGCTCTTTGTGTTTGGTGAAACGGGAACACTTCTAATGCTTCGGGCCATCTGCGTGCTCTGCGCAAGTCGCAGGCTTGAGCTGGACTGCGCGCTACCCGGTCTTGGAGGAGGCAGTGGATCGTCTGCAGTCAGGGCAGGTCCTGACTCGCAGCTGCCCTTTCTGTTGCGCATGCTCGAACATCTTGCCGCAGCTCCGGCACTTCTGCTGGTTTGTGACGCGGGTGCTGCGAGAGGAGCAATTCTGACACATTTGCTGTCGCTTCAGATCGCCCTGCTCTTCTTGGAAGAATTGCTTGCAGCCTTTGCACGTAAACCAACCTTGGCGTGACTTGGTATTTCCTTTGCGCTTGGCTTCATCTTGGCAGGCGCGGCAGGCCACATGCTCCGCTGGCAGGGTCACCATGGCTGCTTCGAATTCATCTACAGGCTTGTTGCTGCCACATATGGCGCAGGTCAGGGTCGTCGTGGCCCGCACACATTGAAGGCAGCGCCGCTTGACCGGGGCATCCCTTTGCTTCAGCTGGGCACGTGGAAAAGCGTCCTCGATCTTGGCCACTTTGCAGGCGCTGCATTCCACATTGGCAGCGCCGCTCGAATACTTGCGCTTCCTCGGGGCCTTGGGGTTCTCTGCATTGATGCAAGCCAGGCAGGTGGCCGGCAGGTTGGCGCGGACCTTCTCCCACTGCGCGTTGGAGAAAGCGTCCACGACTTTGACGTGCCTGCATTTCTGGCAGGTCGCCGAAGGTCGCCGGGCTTCTTGATACTTCTTCCAGTCCACTTCTTCGCCGCGCAGGCTCTGCAACAAGAGCTTCGGCCCTTCTGGAGCGCCGCGTTGAAAGAGCCAGAGCGGGAAGGGCCGCAGGATCAGCACATCGTGCCGGCTCCGCACGCGGCTCACTGCCACCGTGCCCAGGGTGGGGTCCGTCCGCTTGTCGATGGCGAGGTCCAGGATCGCGGCCGGCAGCGTCTTGCCTTGGCTGGTGTGAGCCGTGATGGCGAAGGCCGGAACCAAGGGAATCTGCTGCCTGACGATCTTCAGCACCGACTTCTTCCTCTTCGCATCCAGGTACCACGCCCGCTTCTTCAGCTCGACGGGATACAGTCCCGGCTCCGACGCGCCGTCCAGCTTCCACTTGGCATCGTCGAACTTGACGTACCTCGGTTGGCAGCAAGGCGACACAAGAACTTTCTCGCTGGGCACGACGCACAGGATTGCAACACACAGACAAAGGCCTATTAACATGTAGAAGGTAGAAAGAAACGTAAGAAGTAAACATTTGCTGCCCCTGCCCAGATTCACGACCTTGGGCTGCCGGTCGTTGTCATGCCAGATCCAGGAGTGCACGCGGCCCACGCGACCCTTCAGCAGCAGCTTGTCTTGGGAGCGGTCGAGGTGCTGCGTCAGCGCCACCGGCATGCCGATGGCCAGGGGCAGCATGCCGCAGAGGTCCGCGGTGTCCCGGTCGTGGTACTGCAGCCATCGGATCTTGGCGCTTTTGTCGCAGTTCTCCGCCTGCAGCGCCTCGTTGCTCGCCAGATCCAGCGCTACCGAGTAGCGGAGAGGCGTGCCCGCGGCCTGCGCATATGCACGCGCCCGGTCTTTGTTGATCTGGTACCTGGCGTCGTTGTTGGCGACCACGACGAAGGCTTCCACGAACTTCTGCTCCTTCAGGCGGGGGTCGCTCTCGGACACAATGACCCGACGCCTCGAGTCGCGCTCTGCCTGGCTGAGCGTGCAGCCTTCCACTGGCACGCCGTGAAGGTACTTGTGGTTGTTGTCGGAGAGGTTGCCGTCGCGAAACTGGTCCACCACTTCGTTGTACCACTCGTCCTGGCAGCGCTGCCGTTCGATCAGCTCGGTGACGCCTTGCGTCGACCCGCCCCAGAGCAGCTGCCGGCCGTATTCCGCCAGGAGATCTTGGTTCGTGGCTTCTTGCGCGCCGGCCGGAAGTTTCAGGCTTGCAGGCACGTCGCCCAGGAAGCCACCTTCCGGTGGCTTCAGCTGGCGAAAGTCGCCCATCAGAACCGTGTTGACGCCGGCAAAGGCTCGCACGTCTCCGTGCTCGTCCAGCTTCCAGGCATTGGCCGAAGGCATGACCGCGCGCATTCGCTGCTCCACCTGCGCCAAAAGCCTGGCGTTCACCATGCTGATCTCGTCGATGATCAACCAGCGCCAGTAGGACAGGCGCTTCGCCGTGTCGCGGCTGGCCGCTTGATCCGTGAAGGCGCCGACGCTGAGCCCGGAGGCGCTGTGCAAGGTCTTGCCGGCCAAGTCCGCAGCGTTCGCGGCTTGAAAGGCAGTCACTTCGTACTCGACGCCCTGAGCGTACCCGAGCATGCCGAAGAGCTCGTGCACGGACTCGAGGACCCAGGTCTTGCCGGTGCCAGGCCCGCCGTGCAGGAGCCACACCAAGGGCTTGTCGCGTTCCAGGATGCTGTCCTGCGGGTGGAGCAAGCCGTGCTCGACGAGCGCTCGGTCGACGAGCAGGCAGAGGAGCTCGTGCTGCTTGGCGTTGATGCGGCTTCGAACTCGATCGCTGTGCAGCCAGTTCAGCAGCTGCTCGGAGCTGACTGCCGGTCGCTGCAGCACGTGCGGCGGCTTTTCCACGCTGCCCAAGTTGGCGCGGGACTGCAAGGCGCTTGCCGTGGCTGCTTGACTGCGCGAGACCTGCGCCGCCTTCAAGAGGCGCTCCGGGCACTCCACGCCCTTGCAGGATTCCAAGCCCTTGCGCTTCTCCGCCGCGGCCTGGTCTTCCTCGACACCAGAGGACGGAAGCCAAATGGATGAAGATAGATCGAAGATCTGCTTGGTCATGGTGTGCTGCAGGGTGGGGTCCGTGCTGCTCGCGGCTGCAGCATCAGCTGGGTCTTCTGCCTCTGCGCGGCCACTGCCCCGCACATGCGTGGCCATGGCTGCTTCCAGGTCGGCGCTGTCGAAGATTGCCGGGGCGTCCTGCGGGCACGGCGGGCACGGCCGACAAAATCTTGTAACTGCAGAATCTGAAGTGGCTAATCAATGGACAGGAACATAAAAGACATAAAGGAATTACGGCTGACTCGGTCCTCGATGCCTTCGTTGTCGCTGTTGGCCGCCAGTTCGCCGTTGGACTGCAGCTCCCGAGGCAGGCAGTAAACGAAGCAGAAATTCAAGACGTAGTGCCTGAGAGTCTCCGTGGCAAAGCCACGCCTCGCGAACCAAAGCTTCAGGCCGTCCCGCCAGCTGTCAGCACCGCCGCGGAGGTCGCTGATGAAGGGCACCGCGTCCGTGGCATCGGCCGCGTTCGTGGTCCAGGGGCAGAAGAGCAGCATCACCTTCTGGGCTTGCTCCTCCTCTGTCCGGCAGCCCTGCGCACCGTAGATCACGGGCACAAGAGGGCGCTTGCGGAGCTCCACGACCCAGTCGTGTCGATACGGCTGAGCTCTCTCGCCATGCCCGAGAGGCAGCCAATCCACTCCGCCTCGCTCCTTGATCTGGTAGTCGAGCCCTGCAAGCAGCTTGGTTATGGCCATTCCAATCCTCAGCTTGGCTTTCCCCGCCTGGGTAAGGAAGACGTGGTATTTCTCCGGCTCCTGCACCTCCCGCGCCACAGAAAAAGGTTGCGACGCAAGCTTGTACTGATAGTGCCGCGCAAACTCGAAAGCAGACAACTCGTGCACTCGGGGATCACGGCCGCGCTCCCCGTACAACGTCCACGGCGGGCACTCGGCGCACTTCTTCTTGCCATAAAAGCCTGCGTGCCGGGAGTCTGCTTGAATGCGGCGGGGCTCCACGGGCAGGGGCTCCCGAGCAATAGCCGCGTCCAGCAGGCGGAGCCCATAAGCCAAGGCGATCTCCGTGACTTGCGCTGTCTTGATGGACTCAGCGCGCGTGCAATCAGTGCTGCGTGCGTGGTCGACGAGGTTGACGCATTCCACAGAGGCCCGGCACACGCCCCGCGCGCAGCAATCGGTGGCGAGGCGCTTGCTGTGCCTGCCCATGGCGTAGCCGGTGGGCTTGCCTTCCAGCTCTTTGGCCAGCTCGGTCTGAGCTTTCTGCCACTCTTTCGTTTCCTGCACGGCGATGGCCAGTCTCTTGTTCATATAGTCGCAGCCGTAGCCCGCCTGTGCTGCCTGGTTCTGCTGGGCTTGCTTGACGACCTGGCGGAGGTCGGCGCCGGCCGCGCAGTCCTCACAGCAGAGATCATCGTCGTGCAGCTCCGCCAGGATCGGGAAGCGGTACGGCACCTGGACGTCGGAGTTGCACCTGAGCACCGCCAGCAACGCAGGGTGGGTGCCGTTGAGGTTGGGGTCGTTGACGGGGCCCCAGAGAGCGCCCAGCGCGCTTCTCTTGCCCTTGACCGGCAAGCCCATGTGTTTCGCCAAGCCCTCGCAGACCAGCACGGCGGTGTCGGTCATCTGCTCCTGTGGCTTCGGAAAGCCTGCCTTGCATTTGGTCGGATCGCGGGGATCTCTGCAGTGGGCCAGGGGCAGACGCTCTGCGTCTGCTGCCAGGAAGGCTGTTTCCCGCTCCTCTGCTTTTCGCTCCAGCCATTCGGCCTCGACGGAGGTGGCCTTGGCCCGCAGGGCCTGTGTGGTGTACGCCGCTTGCTTCTGCTGGAGCGTCTTTGGCAGGTGGACGTGGTGCTGCTTGTGCTGCTGCAAGGCTTCTACGTCTTCTTCCAGGAACGCTCGTCGCCACTGCTCTCCCTCCAGCGCTGCGTCCTTCTGATACGACGGGCGGCTCAGCACCAACGTGGACTTGCGGTACTCGGGCCACTCGGCTTCGATGGAATGCCGCTTCTGCTTCCAGGCCGCGGGGTCGCAGTAGACGGAGCGCCTCACGTGCCCCGCGTAGGCCATGTACTTCTGCAGTAAAGCGCGCTTGTCCCCGGTGCTCAGCTTCAGCATGTCGGCCAGCGGTGTGAACTGGTGAAAGTTCTGCACGAAGACCTGCAGGGGTCGGGAGAAGAGAGTTTGGATCGGCAGCTCGGTTCGTTTTTTCTACAATTTTTACTTTGAACAGGCGGGGGTTCCTGTGGAAGTGTTGCGCCTCTCGGAAGCATCGTTGCGCATAATGTTACATATTTGTTTATATTCATAAAACTATTGACTCTGACGCCGGCCTGGAAGTGCCCGTGGAACGCTCCATTCTTTTGCGTTTCCAGAGAGCCAAAGACGGCGTCCACGCGGCCGAAGATGCCGCCGACGGCCGTGGCGCTGCTGCCGAAAGCATCCACGCAGGGCGTGTCGGAGGTGGCGCAGTCGGGGCAGCGCGGGCAGAAGCGCACGCCCAGGAGGTGCCGCAGCGCCAGCTGCACGAGCGTCTTGAAGCCTTCGAGGCAGGCCAGCGGGTCTCTGGCCAGCATGGCTCTGCGCTCGTCGTAGGACGGGAGCTCGGCCGCAAGGGCTTCCGGGTCGAGGCGACAGAACTCCACCTCCAGATCTGGCTCGTCCCTGGCTTGGAACTTCTTGGACCCTTCCTGGGCGATGGCTGGATCGCTCCTGCGTGCGCGGGCCAGGCGCAGCATGAGCGTGGTGTCCCGCTCGGACGGCGAGAAGGTCAAGAAGAGGGAGGTGCCATGGCAAACCCTGTAGGCGTGCGTTTGGTGGCGCATGGTCTGCCGCACTTCGTGCGTTCCTGGGATCCGGCGAGTTCTGGCTTCGCAGTTGTCCAAGACCTTCTTGGCGGCCTCGGACAGATTGGGCGCGTAGCGCACCTTTGACAGATCGCCTTTGATGGCTTTCATCTCGCCGGTGACGTCCTTGTACTTGCCGCGACACAACTTCTGCTGGATCTCGCACACGCCCTTGAGGATGTCCTCGTTGGTGAGCGGTCGGCGGCCGCCGCGCTCGTCCGGGATGGTGTACATGTAGGTGTTCTTCTGAAGGTTAACCATGGTCCGGAAGATGTAGTTCCAAACCGTGAAGCCAAAGGTCCAGTCCCGGCGGAATTGGGTTTCCACGCGGCGAAGCATGGCCGCAGCCCAGTCGTAGATGAAGACCTCCGGCGCCTTGGCGTCGCGGGACCGGCGTCGGGTCGCCGCGCCCGCCACATTGCTGTCCTGCAGAGGCAATGGATCCGAATTATCATCGTTATAAATAATATACATCTTATAATGTGCTCTATGCCGCTGTGCTCTTTGAGATTTTGTACTTATACAGAAGAATGCGCGCAGCGATTAATTTGCACTGAACAACACCTCTCTCCTGAGCCGCGTTGGTCTTCTGAATGTCGGGGCAGGCAGTGGCGTGCTTGAAGCAGAAGCAGAAAGCTGTGGCAAAGTACATCGGCTGGAATTGGTCGATGAACTTGTTGCCCGTCCGCGCCTCGAAAGTTTGCGCCACCTTGTCTCTGGGGGCTGCTTCTTCCTGAGTTTCTGTCCCCTGCATACATGGTTCCGTCGCTTCCCTCAACTGCTCGGCCAGCTCGTTCAGGGCCAGCACTCCCGCTGCGTTCTGATCCTGGCGATCCACGCTCCAGCCTTCCGGCACCACGGCGCGGGCTCGTTGGGCAGCGAAGATCGCGCCGGCCTCTTCCAGCTGCAGAAAGGCGTCGGACGGCGTGGCCGCCTTTTGCGGCTGCAAGCGGTCCTCCGCCTTGTCGTCGATCTCCGCGATGACCTTCAGCACTTCCGGAGGAACTCCGTCTTCAGGCAGAGATAGGGCCGCCTGTCGAACGGCCACCTCGTCCGCGCCCTGGTAGGCCGGGTGCCCCAGTTTCTTCATGTCGAGGATCAGCTGCACGACCACCTCTCTGCGCACGTTCGCCTGGTGGATCAAGCTCTTGATCTCGGCGTCCGAGGTCTTGGCAGTCTTGTTGGTCTTCAGCACCACGCGCACCACGTTTCCCAGCTCAGGTCCGCTGCGCGGCAGCTGGGCGGGCGCCTCCCCGCCTGCTTCGCTTTCCAGCACGCCGCGGTGCGCCTGCAGGTTCCGCAAGAGGTCTTCCCACGGCAGAGGGAAGGTCAACGCGTTGCCCCGCGCGCCGAGGCGGTGCCTGGCCATGTGGGCGTGCTCGTCCAGCGGCGAGCTCTCGCTGCGGTACCGCGCCTCCATGGACATGCACACGAGCGTGGTTATGCAGGGGCTGGCGCAAATCATCTCCATGACCGTGACCTTGTCGGTGTAGAGGCGCTCCGGGGCGTACCCGGTCCACATGTCGTTGGCCAGGCTGAGAGGCGGAAGCCGGCCCGCCGCCAAGTTCTCGTGGCATTCGCTGCAGATCGGCACTTCGCAGTGCTCGCACAAGCAGCCTTCCGTCGCGTGCTCCGGGTGCCTGGAGCAGCGGTGATCTTCCGGGCAGCAGAGCAGGAAGGCGCCGTCTGGGAGTTGGACCCGCCAGCGGGTGAAGTCCTCGAAGGTGGTCAGCTTGAGGTCGCCCTCCAGGCGGTCGTACTTCTCGAGGAAGGAGTCGAGCCCCAGAATGTCCAGCACTTCGGGCAGCTGCCGGCCAAGGAAGGTTGGCGGCGCTTCTGGCCGCGCCGCGTCTTGCTGCAGCGGGCGGCGCCATCTGATGTTCCCCTTCTCTTCTGTCTCGGCGACGCGGGTGTGGATGCAGGCGCAGCAGAAACAGACCAGCGCCTCCACCCCGTCGCGAGCTGTCGCTGCCGAGAACGATTGCAAGGCCTTGCGATCCAGGGAGCAGCCGGCCAAAGGCGCTTGAGCGCGGCACCTGATGGCCACGGCCTGGTTGTAAATGCTCAGGAAGGCGTCCTTGGCATTTGGGTCGGGCAGCAACTTCAGCAGCGGCTCCAGCTGGGACAGGTGAGAATGGCGGAGATGCTGCGTCAACTCCCGTTCTCCCCCGCGCTCGCAGCTCCATGTGCACTCTTGGAAGGCGCAGAAAACGTGTGGCCATGCTTCGCCGGCATCCAGTGAGTGCACAGATGCTCCAGGCGGAAGCGTCGGGAAATCCCAGCTCGCCGGCCAGCTTGCGCAAGCCGTCCTCGAGCGGTCTGTGCGGGTGCGAAGATTCTGCAGCGATCTGGCACAGGCTCAGTTCTTCCAGCACTCCACCTTGCTCCTCGTTTGCACCTTTCTCTGGCGCTGGCTTTGGCTGTGACTTGGAAGCAGGTTGGCCTCCCAAGGCCGAGGAGTGTGCGCCGCCGGACTCCTCCGTTAGGCGCTCTTGGGGGCTCTGCGAGGGCATCTGCTTCGAGGGCATCGCCGTCAGCAGGTCGTAGTGGTCCACCCCGTTGTAGAGCAGATGCACCGCCGAGAAATCTTCTGCTTCGAGGTCTTCCGCGACCCGCCAGTGCGTGCGGCAACTGGAGTGGAACTTTCCATCTTCGTCTTGCCAGTGCACGTTCACGCGGCGCTGCCGGAGCAAGGACCACGCCAGCACTGAGGTGTCTCCGCCCCAGCAGTGCGCCGGATCGCCGCGGAGAATTGCCGCTTCCTCCAACCAGATTTCCTCTTCTTCGTCTTGTTCGGCAGAACGCTCTTCCAGGAATTCTGCCAGCTCCTCCCGCAAAGCTGCGGCGTCCCCGCCCTCGTGCAGGGACAGCGCGTGGAACAGGCAGTTGCCGTCTCCTTTCATTTTCACGATGCGAAAGTCGGGCGGCGCGGCGCCAGGGGTCCTGGGCGGCGCGCGGGAGCTGGAGCTGGCTGCTGTGTTGCCGTAGAGAGCCTCAGTATAGTCGATCGCGAGGGTTGTTGTGACACATATATATATATATGGCGCTTTAAACAACCCTGATGCGTGCTGGTCCGCTTGCCCTTGTTGCACTCCGAGCTGTCGGCGTGTTGCAGCTTGTTCCTTTGCTTCTTGTCCACGCTCCAGAAGGCGCAGGGCAAGCCGCAGAGCGCCTTAGGCCACGCACTCTCGCATTTGGTGTAAATAGACACGCTGGGCGACCTGACCTGGAATGCTATACTACAGGCTGGGGCGCGGGCCAGCTGCAACTTGACCCTCTGCCTGCGGCCCATCGTTGAGGTTGCGTAGCAAGTGGGGCCTCAGTGTCGCGTATGAGAAGACACGCGTGCTGCCGATACTGAGACCGATCAGGTCGGACAAAATCTGAGCCGGGCACTGTCGCAGGAGAGCACGTGCACCAAGTCCGGGCGCGCGGCTGTGCCAGGGCTCGGAACTGCAGAGAGGCAGGCAGGCGCTCGCTTGTTGGAACACGTTGCAGCCATGTGTGAGCTTGTGCTTGTGACTATATGCTGTAAGGCCCTCGCAGAGCAATCGGCGGGTCACGTTGCAGGCTTCCTCGATACGCACAGGGTCGGACTGATCGGGAGCGCGTGTAAGTGGAAAGCGCACGCACATGGCTTGAGGAAGGGACTTCATCGTCGGAGACAATCGTCGTGCGAACAGCTCGGATGTGCATCCTCTTCGCCGCTCAACTCTCGACTCTATAGACACAAGTGTGGGGCACGTCTGTCATGCGACCTCCGACGCTTCGGCCGAGCCGTTGCGTTACTGGTCGCGCCCGCTGCCGCAAGCGCCGCTCTTTCCTCCTACACGATTTTGCAGACACAGGGTTAACTTGCGCGATAGTACGTTGGTGATTCAAACTAAGGTGCTGAAGTGTTCTTCGCGCCTGTGCCTGTCGTAGCGCAGCTTCTAGCACCTGGTCTTCTTCATTGTCTGGCGCCGGGCGTGGCTGCTGCCCCGCCGTTGCTGCCTTGAATCTTTCACTTGACCCAGCGCAGGACGCGTGCAGAAACTCACAGGACACCGCTGCAGACTTTTTCAGGGAGAGCGCCTTCCTGCGTTGCGCAGCTCGCGGCTTCGCAGGCCCGGTGGCCTCTGAAGCTTTTGCGGCAACTTCACGCCGCTGCTTCTTCCAGTCCTGAGAAGTGAAGAAAAAGCAAACCTCTCTGGACTGGACAAGGTAAGACAATGCTGGTCGATCACCGCCTCGTCGATGATGATGGTGCCTGCCTTGCGCACGCGCAACTCGCTGGACGTTCTTTTGCGCTGGACGACGAGATGATGGGCTTAGCCGAGGGGATGACTGGCGTCAGCAGTGTCAAGCGACAACGTGTGGCGAGATAGTCGCGCTTGAACACGTCCCAATCCCACACGCTGACCTGCCAAATGCATGAGCGCGTTTGCTCTGCGCGCTGCCCTATAGAGGCCCTTTTGCTTGGGAACGCACCTCGCTGTCATCGTCGACCATGTCAGCCCAGCGGCAAGTGGACGGCATGATTGCCTGACGTGCAAACAAGCAAGGGCTTCGCCGCAGCGTCCATGTCTCTGCAGATAAGGCCTCGACTCGGCAGGGACGACTTGCGAATTGTGAGCAGTTGCTGCTAAATATTTGAGCTTGAGAAGCAGGTGTGTCGTCTGAATCGCCTAAACACTGGGTCAAACCAATCAAAACATTTCAGAGGTCGACATGAGGCACTGCGCACTTCCAGCGCAACTGCAGACATCACAAGGCTTTGCAAACTGCGCTTTTTTGCTCAAAATCAGCTGCTCAGCAGGTCTTGGGCGGTCGTGGCTTTGGCTTTGCAGTCTTGCGTGCCCGCTTCCTCTTGCATGGGACTTCTTTGGGTCGCACACGCATCTCACTGCTGTTTGCGCTGCGAAGAAGTGCATCATCCCAACGCTGCCAGCGCTCTCGAGTCAGCCATTGCACACTGCCTCGCGCCACCCAGCTGGGGATTGCGATCGGCGATGGCAGCAGCTCCACCTCTTCAATTTCCCAAGCCCATGGGTCTTCGTAAGCCAAGGCCTGTGTCGGGGCACAGCACAGTGGCTAGGCAAGTGGCATGTTGTTCAGTGCACGTGTGCTTGCAGCTCAACCCAGTCCTCCAAGGTGCCAGCGTGTTCTTCTCGCTCAGCGGCAGAAAGCCGGTGTGAACCAGAGATCAACGCACGTCCTTGGATTTCCAGGACGCCAGTGGCGGCCAAAGAGATCCAGCCTTCGTGAGGGCAAGGCTTCTTCCTGATTTCGATGCGCTTGGTACCTTCAAGGATCTGCTGCAGCCAGCGTGGCTTAATTTTGAGAGCTCGCACGGTGATTCCAAAGGCTTCCGCAGCAGTCGCGGGACGAGGCGCTGCCATGCCCGCTAGGAACGAAAGGACGCCGGCTATGCAAATTGTGAAAACGTGCGGGGCGCAACGCTTCAAGTGTGAATGGAAACTTGCCCTGTGTATGCGTGCGTGTAGGTCCAGATGTCCTGTGTTTACCGTGAACTCTTCTTGAGAAATGTCACGAGTGGCTGAAGCTTGTGTCCTGTGACCGTGAAAGTCCTCGCGCATCTCAGGAAGCAAAGCCTTGCTAAGACCAGCAGCCGAAGTTGCGTCCATCAATCTATTTGTCTTCGAAGTCCTGGACACTCGAACCAGCCCTTCGCAAAGTCCAGGTCTTGAACGAGCCCTCCAGGAAGTCCTCCTTCTTCGCCCCGTGATAGACTGGTGCTCCAGGCCATCGTCCGTGCGCAGACAGATTCATTGCATTAGTGTTATTTGAAAGAAAAGCAAAGGCCTTGCTAAGACCAGGTCACTCCATGCCCGAATCACCTCAAGTATGGATTACCCCAACGACTGGGTCACCTCAGAGCTGGGTGTGTGCCAGAACTGAGTCACCCCAGCGTTGGGTCACTCCATAAGCTTGAGTCACTTCAGGATTGGGGCACCCAGCCTTGTCTGCAGCCGAAGGTGCTCTGCCCAAGCGTTCTATTTGTCTTCAATGTCCTCGACTCAAACCAGCCCTTCACAAAGTCCAGGTCTTGAACGGGCCCTTCAGGAAGCCCTCCTTCTTCGTCCCGTGATAGACTGGTGCTCCAAGCATCTCCAGGCCATCGTCCGTGCACAGAGGAAGGATTCAATGTCATCATGTTGTTGTTGCTTAAAAGAAAAAGCAAAGCCTTGCTGAGACCAGGTCACCCCGTACCCGAATCACCTCAAGCATGGATCACCCCAACGGACTGGGTCACCTCAGAGCTGGGTACGCCAGAACTGAGTCACCCCAGCGTTGGGTCACTCCAAAAGCTTGAGTCACTTCAGGATTGGGGCACCCAGGCTTGTCTGCAGCCGAAGGTGCTTTGCCCAAGCGTTCTATTTGTCTTGAATGTCGTTGATTCGAACTAGCCCGTCACAAAGTCCAGGATTTGAACGAGCCCTCCAGCAGGAAGTCCTCCTTCTTCGCCCCGTGATAGACTGGTGCTCCAGGCCATCGTCCGTGCACAGACAAAGGGTTCAATGCTCTGTTCTGACTTAAAACGAAAATACAATGTCCTGCTAAGATCAGCAGCCGAAGTTGCACACGTCAATCTATTTGTCTTCAATGTCCTCGACTCGAACCAGCCCTTCATAAAATCCAGGTCTTGAACGAGCCCTCCACAAAGTTCTCCTTCTTGGCCCCGATACACGGAATGGCCCGCCGGGAGGCTTTTCTTCTTGGTCCTCAAGACAAACAATTTCACCTCAGGTTGGCTGGCTTATTTGACTGCAGCCAAAGTCGCGCCATCACCGTGCCCTCCAAGCAGTCCTCCTTCTGTCCTTCCAGGAAGTCCTCCTTCTTTGTCCTCGGGATAAGCAAACTGGCCTTCCAGGAAGTCCTCCTTCTTTGTCCCCGCGATGAGCAAACTGGCCCTCCAGGAAGTCCTCCTTCTTTGTCCCCGGGACAAGCAAACTGGCCCTCCAGGAAGTCTTCCTTCTTTGTCCCCGGGATAAGCAAACTGGCCCTCCAGGAAGTCCTCCTTCTTTGTCCCCGGGATAAGCAAACTGGCCCTCCAGGAAGTCCTCCTTCTTTGTCCCCGGGATAAGCAAATTGGCCTTCCAAGAAGTCCTCCTTCTTCGTCCCCGGGATAAGCAAACAGGCCCTCCAAGAAATCTTCCTTCTTTGTCCCCGGGACAAGCAAACTGGCCCTCCAGGAAGTCCTCCTTCTTTGTCCCCGGATAAGCAAACTGGCCCTCCAGGAAGTCCTCCTTCTTTGTCCCCGGGATAAGCAAACTGGCCCTCCAGGAAGTCCTCCTTCTTTGTCCCCGGGATAAGCAAACTAGCCCTCCAGGAAGTCCTCCTTCTTTGTCCCCGGGATAAGCAAACTGGCCCTCCAGGAAGTCCTCCTTCTTTGTCCCCGGGATAAGCAAACTGGCCCTCGAAGTCCTCCTTCTTTGTCCCCGGGATAAGCAAACTGGCCCTCCAGGAAGTCCTCCTTCTTTGTCCGGGATAAGCAAACTGGCCCTCCAGGAAGTCCTCCTTCTTTGTCCCCGGGATAAGCAAACTGGCCCTCCAGGAAGTCCTCCTTCTTTGTACAAAACATGTTCTTGCCATGTCACAGCACTCATGTCCTACACATGTACCTGCAAGCAACTCGGCAAACAAAGAAATGTCATGTTTTCACAAATTGGAGAGCAACTCTCTCATGGCAGAGATTGACCTTACAGTTGGATGAACTTCGCATACAACCAATTAATCAGACCACAAAAGTGTAGTCATCTTGCACCCCCAAAACTGCTCTGAATTGCGATTTTGCTTGCTGGCCCTGCAGCTCCGTGACTGCATTCCTAAAGTCTTGAGCGCCGTCGAATGAAAGATGTGATGCTGCGCACTTTCATTCAGGCTGGCTGCACGGCCTTCAGGGATCTGGGGGGTGCTGTGGAAGAGAGAGCCTCAGCCCCAGCATAAGTTCCACATGAGCCCAAATGAGTTCCACATGAGCAAAAACACTGCTGAACGAGAAAAGATGTTTTGACTGAAACGATAAAATTGATTTTGATCATGATTCAGCAACACACACAGTACGGTTGCCTAGTTCACGGTCAAAACCACAGTTCCTTCACCTTCACCGTCGTCACTTCAACCAGCATGAGCTCTGCATGTGAGCCCTCACATGAGCCCAGCATGAGCCCAGCATGAGCCCAGCATGAGTCCAGATGAGTTCCACATGAGCCCATCATGAGTTCAGCATGAGCCCAGAGCCCAGCGTGAGCCCAGATGAGTTCAACATGAGTTCAGCATGAGCCCAACATGAGTTCAGATGAGTTCAACATAAGTTCAGAAGCCCAGAGCCCAGCGTAAGCCCAGATGAGTCCAACATGAGTCCAGCATGAGCCCAACATAAGTTCAGATGAGTCCAACATGAGTCCAGCATGAGCCCAGATCGAAGGAAGTGGTTGAGAGCCAGGCAAGCTTCTTTGTTCACGGAAGCTTTCGAGAGGCCTGGTTCATTGCCTTCAAAGGCGAAGACACCGAGCGTGCAGTATTGTTCATGCGAGGACGGCGAGTGCATCACCGCCTTGCACGCAGCCGGGAGTCTCGAGAGCATTTTTTCACAAGGGTCGTGGCGGGGCAACTGGGCCGGGGTTGAAGTCTCAAAGCTGCCGCACAGCCAGGGGCACTGGCGGCCTCGTGAGTCGGGCCTTGGGCTCGGCG